GACTAGCTGGTCATCCCTCCTGTTTGGGGTGTTTACTCGTAGCATTTCCAAATAACTGTGTCTATTCTGAAGACAAGAAAGGACCTTTTCTATTCATTTGTTAGCTGCTGTTCCAAAGCATCACAGAATAAATGGATTAGCAATCCTTTGTGTGTGTGACCGAGTCTTTGCAGCCCAAGATGGCCTCAAACTCTCTTTCTAGTTTAGACTACTTTGTGTAGTACTTTGAGACCCTGACTCAAACAAAACAAAATGTAGTCAGAAAAAAAAATGTTTTTCTTCTTTTGCTCTTCTGGGGTTGTACTGGTCACTAATGCATGACTCTTATTTCTTTGAATTTCTTTTATTTTTATTTCCTCTCTAGCAGGTTGCAGGGACCTCTCTTTCATGGACCCCATCGTGTCCTTCTCAGAGTGGCCAGCCGAGGAGGAGTTATCCAATGAGTAAGTGTGATTTATGTAGCTGTCTAACAGGCAGCTAGAACAGGGTGCTACTATGGCTTGGGATTAGACGGAAAAAGAGGGACAAAATTTGTTCCTTGGTGAAGGAGACTCCCTGACAGTGGGGATTTCCTCCCAGACTCCGGATTAGGCACGAACCACACCCAAACACAGAGATCCTTTATTAAGCCAGGAAGAAAAGTGAAAGTAGCTGCTTTCTGACTCAGGCAGACAAGCAGCAGCAAATGACCTTGTGGGTGTCATTTTTAAGAGAAGAAGGGGGTGTGTAGTGACAAATGGGCTATAATACTATAGTAAAGGAGATAGGGGACTAGGGAGAAGGGGACGGGAACAAGGGAAGGGGCAAGGGTATTTGTCCCCAAATGGGGGACAAAGAACTGCCTTTGGATAGAGAGGAGACAGATGTGGGTTACAGGAAGATAGTAATTTGTAAAGGTAAAGGGGAAACCCTGTGTTAGGATGAGGTGTTTCATTTTAATTGGGCATGTTGATTAGGGCTTTGATAGCTGGACCTTGGTAGTTGGCCTCAGGAGAAGGAAGTGGCCACATAAGGGAATAGACCTTGGTGGCCAGCTTTAGGAATGTAATCTAATGATTTTTTAGCAAGGCATAGGGTATGGTGGAAGGGCAAGGCCTGCCAGAGCCGGGCTCGACACACTTGAGCTGGCCAGAGTTACTTTAATTGGCCTGTGTGTATTTGGTGAGTTATAGAGTCCATCAACATAAGAGAATTCAAAAATCAATGTAGTTATGACCCTGGACAAATACTGGCAGGCAGGGGTTGACACAGGGGGG